ATAAAGCAGATATATACATTCTTTCTAAGATTTCATAATATTTCACTAGAAACAGCTTAGTAGTTTATTTACAGCTTGCATAAGTTCATATTTTTCATCATATATCAGTTGTTTATGCTTCTTGCTGGATGAAGCCATTTTAAAACACCTGTCGCTCTCTTCTACATACAAAGTTAAACTAAACAAGACATTTGTTCAAATAACAAACACAGTTTATTGATTAATACTCGTAATTTATTTCTTTTGTATCATAATTTTACCTGGGGATTGTACTAGAGATACAGAGGCGTCAAAGTGTGACAACATTGCTCGCAGGTGATGGGGTGGCTTTCATAATAAGCGATGTGGAAACAGTTCATTGGTACTGTTTAGGGCCAGTATTTACCTTTCAAATAATGCAGGATTTTAAGTAAACTGATTTCAAATTGAATGAGGTCAAAATACAAAGACAAAGAAGAAATTTTGACGGATTATTTTTTATTTTCAAATTTACTAGTTTTGTAATATAACTGAGTTCAAATTAAGTGGGTTCAACTGTAACTCTTGTGTGTTTGTGTAGAGGTAGGATGGGTGAACTAAAAAATTCTCACTGTATGTATATCAGGTCATGTCACATCTTAAACAAACTTTATAAATCTCTGAAGATGCCAAGGTCAATACCATCAGTTTTTGTTGTCATAGTTTAGTTAACTATATAGAGTTATGTTGATAGAAAATGTCTCTTTACCAAACTTCATAATCTCTGTATAGGTTATCTGTTTAAGGTCAAGGTCACGATTATGGTGTCCATTACACTTTAAACAAAGAAAACATAAGGCAACCTGTTTTTACAATTAGATATTTTCTTATCCATGTCTGTTTAAAATTTTTAAAAAAAATGAAAATTATTTTTTTTTCTCAAATATTCACAAAATGGGAATTATTCTTAAGAGATAATTTTTGTGTATACTGGATTAATGTTATCAAAACATAAGATTCCAGGCCACTGACATTTAAAGTTTCATGAAAACAGTTTCAGGGAGGGTGGCTAGAAGAATGAAGCTAGTAGTTGTTTTAATCTTTGATTTATATATAGAAGGTTCAGTAAACATATATATTACAGAGAAAGAAATATATAAATCATAATTATAAAGGAAACCGGGACTGGGTTATGACATTTTGACTGTAAGGAAGGTGGGGTTATATTTCAGTTCATATCTGTGAGTTTATAGTGTTGTCTGGAGCCGGCCACATATTAGACTGGGAGATTGAAAGATAGCAGTATTGGAGGAGTAGTTGCTTGTCTTACTCCCTTACTGTACTTGCAGCACCCGTTCATATGTTAAATATGATCCCAGAAGGGTTCATCATCAATCAAGTGCCAGGGTCTGTCATTCTGTCAGAGGGGCTGATACCAGAGCCTGCTTAATCTCAACTGTTTCAATACAACTCTGCAATTTTAGAAGAGTTTCTTACCAAGTTTGTCAACATTGATTCCAAATGCCCAGAAACTCCATAAGTCATTTCAATCTCGGGAAAAATGACATTGTGGAAGTTATTGATGATACATATGGAGATTTGTTCATTTTCCTGTTTTTAATCATCAGCTGCGCCATTTTCAGATAATCATTCTTTCTGTTATGAAGGTCATTGGATGCCAGCTGTAACTTAGGCAGTGGATTGTTTACTTCCATTTGGCTATGAAGATATCAAATTTTTTACTTTATATTAAACATTAAGTCAATCACTGTTTTCATGAAAATGATTGCAATTCCAAGGTTTTTGGTTAGGAAGTAATATCAGTTTTGATTAGGTTGGAGTTTCTTTGACAAATCATGTTTTACTTATTTGATTTGGATCTGTAAAGGCATTACGAATAAACAAAAAAATATTATTGATCAAATTTTACACTTTAGTATAAATCAGTTTGAAAGATGAGTTGGCGATAAGTTATAATTAATCTGATTTTTTTCTACAGTTCTCTTGTTCAAAATCTCGTGTTTATTTACATATGATAGATATAGAGTGTCTGGCCCTGAAGCTCCTTCTCTCAGTGTTGATTTATTTCTTATTCTGATAAACACCCAAACAAATGGATTACTCACTATATCAAATGATATGTTAATAATTTACCAGTTAATTTATTAATGATTTAATCAAGGAAATCTTGCTGGCAGATATCTTAAAGCGGTCAAATTTTCACCTGAATGTAATTTAGCATCACTCAGATAGTTGCATACATGCTTAGTTTTTTATACTAGTTTTAAAACTGTACAGCATATATTAGCAATTGTCACAAACAATTACAGTAGGGATATGTAATTTTGACAGAACCATTACCTTACCAAGCTGTGGAATGTTTCTGAAAGATTTCATTTTAGAGGGTATGGACTTCGTTGGTTGTCTCCCCATCTTTAAAGCATTTCTCCATTAACTTCAATATCCAGGCTTGAAGTTTAGAAAATTAGAAGTTTTTTTGCAGATTAATGCAGAGGTGCCAATCGTGGATGTCAGAATGAAAACAGTGCAGATGTTTAAGGGAGTAGATTGCATCAGGTGGAGCAATGTGTTGATGTACTTATCACACAGCCTGTGTCATATCTGTCTTCTATATACCAGCATGGCCACCTCGCAACACACTTTTTATACTCTTTGCTATTTTGTGAAAGAAGTTATTAATTGGAAAGAAATAGCAGCCAAGTACTTAAAATAGAGAAATATTGCAGAGTGTAATATTCTGTGTGGTATGTGTCCTCAACATTCTGACCTTTGGCCTTAGTTACCTCAAGGATAACTAACATTGATATCAAGGATAATAAAACTTCTACTTTGAATATTGTTTACTTTTGCTGAGGGATAAAAAGGACCAATTTAGGACATTATGGAAATCTTAAAGTGTTAATGGTGATACTTTAAACCTCTTACGTAGTTTTGATAAATGTTACTTTGTCAGAAATAGTAATCCCCACTCTATTAGTGTATAAACATGGATGATATAAAACATCTTAAAATCTAAATAAAGCATGCTTAAAATTTCAATTCAAAGTTTTTATTCCTTTTAGAGTTTAGTGATGATGACTCATGTGTCTTGTCACTGTTGTTTCTTCACCACCTCTAGTCACATCAATAACAGGTCCACTGCATCTCTTAAACATTGCTGGTTATTTACAATTTTGGAGACAATTTTTTTCTCTCAAATGACTCATTTGATGAATATTGAAGCAAGAACATATAAATTCTAGTAAAGGATGATAGTGTTCAAAGTGTTTGACACTAATATGCAGCCTGGTTTGGGAATTTAGGACTGAAATCCTGTATGGAGAAAGAAACAAGCTAGAGCAATCTGCTGTAAATAGTGATTATTTTTATTACCCTGCTTAGGAAACATTTTCCCTAGAATTAGAATTTGTGGAAAGGTCAGCATACTATTTATTGACATTTGCACAATATTTGACCTTACAGTCTGTAAATATGTTCTCCATGTAAAGTTTATACAAAGTATTAAAACATTTAGGTAAAGATAATGTGGCAAAAAATTGATAAGAACATTGAAAATGATCAGAACTGGTTTTACCATATTTGTGATATTTGTGGAATCCTTTATTCTGTCAATTAAGGTTTGGATTCAGATTTTATCTCAGATACAAACTTTGTACCCTAGCTAGTGCTTTTATGGGGACAAGGTTTAAGTTTAATGCAAATTTATATGGTAGATGTGTCATGGTGAGTTGAAATCAGAAATTTAACATCAGAACTAAAGAATGTTTTCACTTTTAAAAGTAGGGTATGAATTGGTGTGAAGTTTGTCAATGTCTGATTGGTTATTGGCTGATTGATGTTGTTGTGTTTGTACCATATGTTTTGTTCTGTTGCTTGGTAACTGGTAGAAGCTTGTCATCTTGCAGCGGATTTAAGAATGACTACAATCACAATAATTCATGTGATTCGGCTGTGATATCATGCACTCCCTATTGAAATGGGATGCCTTATGCATCTGAATGACTGCTTTCTGAAGAAATTACCATAAAATACAAATAGATTTGAAGATAGACCTGGGTTTCCAGGAAAACCTTCAGCCGAGCTAATTCCAGTAATAAGACTGTGATATCAGCTTGCATTAAGCACCCCAGCAATTTGAATACCATGTGGACTGTTCAAATTTCGTGTGTTACATAGCATGTTTAATCTATATACAATTCTGTCAATTGTGTGCAATTAACAGTGTGGTAATTACGTAAAGCTGATATTTGCTAAGTCATAAAGTTGCTCAGCCTTCTCTTACCAACCAGAAAATACAATCCATCGAAGTACTGTTTAAGTGTGTTTGCTTCCTGGCCAAAGGAAAGGCGGGCAGTAACTGGAGGAGATGCTAAAAGCTTGCTCATCCTATAAATGCATTTAAGATGACTTTACAATCATGTTTCAGGTCCAAAATTTTGTTTTTGAGAAGCTAATTAGGTAGTTCAATGAATCTTGACATTTGTATGTTTTACTTCATCAGAGCTTGATTGAATGAATATCTTCAAAAGTCTTGGTATGTAATTAGATAAAAAATGTAAATTGTAAACTTAGTGAAATATCTAAAAAAAAAAGGAAACAAAGATGGTAAAAACATTAAAATTCCATTTTGTTTTCTTATATACTGCATGTTAGCTTGGCCAGACTGATCTTGTTTAAGTACTAGCCCATGACTAAATCTGCCACTAGTAGACTTGTAAAGATTTGATACCAACTTGGACAAGTAAGCAGTTATAGAAATTATTTGGTGAAAGGCACTCAGAATTTCAGCAAAAATTGCCTAAAAATAATTGTTCTCATATTATTGTTCCCCCAATTAAAATATTGTGAAAATGATTTTTTTCTTTTATAGATTAGAAGTGTAAAAACATCCTTCTAAATACCAGTAGGTGGTAATACTTTCTGTACTGTATGGTAAGGTGTGGATTTACCACTGGTCTGTACTGTATTCTAATGTGTGGATTTACCACTGGTCTGTACTGTATCATAATGTGTGGATTTACCACTAGTCTGTACTGTATGGTAATGTGTAGATTTACCACTGGTCTGTACTGTATCATAATGTGTGGATTTACCACTGGTCTGTACTGTATGGTAATGTGTAGATTTATCACTGGTCTGTACTGTATGGTTATGTGTAGATTTACCACTGGTCTGTACTGTATGGTAATGTGTGGATTTACCACTGTTCTGTACTTTATGGTAATATGTAGATTTACCACTGGTCTGTACTGTATCATAATGTGTGGATTTACCACTGGTCTGTACTGTATGGTAATGTGTGGATTTACCATTGGTTTGTACTGTATGGTAATGTGTAGATTTACCACTGGTCTGTACTGTATCATAATGTGTGGACTTACCACCGGTCTGTACTGTATGGTATTGTGTAGATTTACCACTGGTCTGTACTGTATCTCAAAGTGTAGATTTACCACTAGTCTGTACTGTATGGTAATGTGTGGATTTACCACTGGTCTGTACTGTATTCTAATGTGTGGATTTACCACTGGTCTGTACTGTATGGTAATGTGTAGATTTACCACTGGTCTGTACTGTATGGTAATGTGTAGATTTACCACTGGTCTGTACTGTATGGTGATGTGTAGATTAACACTGGTCTGTACTGTATGGTAATGTGTAGATTTACCACTGGTCTGTACTGTATGGTAATGTTTAGATTTACCACTGGTCTGTACTGTATGGTAATGTGTAGATTTACCACTTGTCTATACTGTATGGTAATGTGTAGATTTACCACTGGTGTGTACTGTATGGTAATGTTTAGATTTACCACTGGTCTGTACTGTATGGTAATGTGTAGATTTACCACTGGTCTGTACTGTATCACATTGTGTAGATTTACCACTGGTCTGTACTGTATCATAATGTGTGGATTTACCACTGTTCTGTACTGTATGGTAATTTGTAGATTTACCACTGGTCTGTACTGTATCATAATGTGTAGATTTACCACTGGTCTGTACTGTATGGTTAGGTGTGGATTTACCACTGGTCTGTACTGTATGGTAATGTGTAGATTTACCACTGGTCTGTACTGTATGGTAATGTGTAGATTTACCACTGGTCTGTACTGTATGGTGATGTGTAGATTAACACTGGTCTGTACTGTATGGTAATGTGTAGATTTACCACTGGTCTGTACTGTATGGTAATGTTTAGATTTACCACTGGTCTGTACTGTATGGTAATGTGTAGATTTACCACTTGTCTATACTGTATGGTAATGTGTAGATTTACCACTGGTGTGTACTGTATGGTAATGTTTAGATTTAACACTGGTCTGTACTGTATGGTAATGTGTAGATTTACCACTGGTCTGTACTGTATCACATTGTGTAGATTTACCACTGGTCTGTACTGTATCATAATGTGTGGATTTACCACTGGTCTGTACTGTATGGTAATTTGTAGATTTACCACTGGTCTGTACTGTATCATAATGTGTAGATTTACCACTGGTCTGTACTGTATGGTTAGGTGTGGATTTACCACTGGTCTGTACTGTATGGTAATGTGTAGATTTACCACTGGCCTGTACTGTATCACAATGTGTAGATTTACCACTGGTCTGTACTGTATGGTAATGTGTAGATTTACCACTGGTCTGTACTGTATCACAATGTGTAGATTTACCACTGGTCTGTACTGTATGGTAATGTGTAGATTTACCACTGGTCTGTACTGTATCATAATGTGTAGATTTACCACTGGTCTGTACTGTATGGTTAGGTGTGGATTTACCACTGGTCTGTACTGTATGGTAATGTGTAGATTTACCACTGGTCTGTACTGTATCACAATGTGTAGATTTACCACTGGTCTGTACTGTATTCTAATGTGTTTGAGGAAGAAGTGTTGCTACCAAAGATGATTACATTAAGAAAAGATTGTAACTACCATACTTACATTGCTCCTATTTGGCTAGTGATATTTCTGATAAAAAATATACAATATTATATCTATAATGGATCTCTGGAATCAAAAGATCATTTATAAGCTTGTATAGAATGGGAGTTTTAGCATACAGTCGTAGGATCTAGAAAGCTTTAAACCTACCATAAATAGCATTAGTATTACGCAGCAGACATGACACTAATCGTCCAGTCATGGGTCACAATCTCATTGACTTCTGCTCATAGCAGTAAAATTGACATCTGAGATATTTAAAGAAAAAAGAAAAGAAAAAAGAAAGTACATTAACATTATATATAAAAAGTTTTTTTCGAAATTAACTAAGTCTATGAAATAGCTCAGTAAGGGGGAAATTTAAGCGTGAAAATTTGAGATAAACTACAATTAATGCACTTCCAAGCCACAAGTATAAATGGTGTTGGAGATTGAATTATAAAGATAGAGAACTTGTAGACGTTGTGACTTCCTGGTAATTGTTTACAATATTACAGGAAAAAAAAGACATGCCTATATCAACAATTAAATTATAATATCTGTTTTATTTTAGCAGGTCAATTAACTCATGTTATATCCAGGGATATCAGGAATTGTTACCAAGGTGTGTCATTTTGAAAAGGAAGTCATTTGTTAGGTAAATTGGATGGAAATCAAGTGGTTTGCATGCAGTCTGTATTTTTGTGTTTTTTATAACACACTTGTGAATATCATCTTTCAATACAAATTTAAAATGAGTTAAAATAATCTGAAAAATGAATTAAACTACTCAATACAGCTGTTTGATCCTTCTATCACTTGGTAGCGATTCTCAGGACCTAGATTCTGAAATCTAGAGGAAGTGCTAACAGAAATATGTGTTTTTTCAGATTGAACAGTTCATTTCTAGGAGAACCATATCAACAGTTGGTGTAGCCTAACTTTTAAGGAAAATATCCTTATAAGTATTCAAAAGCATTACCATAAGAAAAATTGATATGGTTGGTTTGGCCTAACACTTTTTGAAAAGATCTGTGATATTTGATTCCTTTTTCTTTACTGGTATTTAGGGTGTTATGATAAAAGTGACATGGTAAGATGAAACAATCTGGAAAGGCAGATGTGTGTGTCCTTGTATTATAGTGAGGGCTATAAGTACAGGAATGTATGAAAGAGAAATGAGAAACAATGAAATAGTTGGTAGACAATTATGATGTGTGATGGATCATTCTTGGGGTTAGTGTAGAGAACAAGAAGGATTAGTTGGCACTCAAGCTCTGGCTGGTCAGACAATTACTAAAATGCAAGAAATGTTACCAAGACAAAAACCAATTCCATGTTGTTTAACTTTTTATCCTTTCCTTTTAATCACGCTTCGATTGAGTTCTTCCTGGGCCAGATGTGTACAGATAATTGAAGTCTTTGTATATAGTTTTTGCCTTCAAGGGGAAAAGCGAAAATAAAACCATTTGACTTGATAGAGCCAGAAAGCCTGATGTGAATTACATTTATAATGAGATTTTTGATTACATTCTGTACAGTTAATAATACAAATGACAAATGTCAAGCGTTACCCGGAGATCTGGTAGAACATAACAGATCTTATAACATGATCATAATGTCAAGCACAACATTCACGTTTCTAGATACTCTTACATTTGATGGCAATATTACTCCTGTGTAAACTATCATGTTTACTTTTTCATTAACTCCGAAATTTATATGTCAAGCAGTCTGTAGATGTGCAGGTGAACACCTATTACAGGGGTTACATTTTGTACAAAATAGATACATTTTTGTATCTTGATATTGAAAAATAAATTGGATTTCAGGTAACGGCTTACATTTCCAGTTAAATGTATATCTAATCAAGTCTTCTTTTCTTTGAATGTGTATCTGACCAAGTTTACTTCTAGTTAAATGTATATCTGACCATGTCTACTTCCAGTTAAATGTATATCTGACCAAGTCTGCTTCTAGTTAAATGTATATCTGACCATGTCTACTTCTAGTTAAATGTATATCTGTCTGAGTTTACTTCCAGTTAAATGTGTATCTGACCGAGTTTACTTCCAGTTAAATGTGTATCTGACCGAGTTACTTCCAGTTAAATGTATATCTGTCTGAGTTTACTTCCAGTTAAATGTATATCTGACCAAGTCTACTTCTAGTTAAATGTACATCTGACCATGTCTACTTCTAGTTAAATGTGTATCTGACCGAGTTACTTCCAGTTAAATGTGTATCTGACCGAGTTACTTCCAGTTAAATGTATATCTGGCTGAGTTAACATCCAGTTAGATAATATATCTAGGCAATTCTATTTCTTTCTGTATCTGAACAAGCCTATTTTCAGTTAAACATGATCAGTGTTTGATTGTTTTTAAGGAAAGATGTTGTGTACTTAAGTGAGATAAATTAAATGAATGTAACTCTAAAGTGTTCACATCAGATTGTTATTGATATGTCTAACTGATTTCTATCAGAAACGGATTATACAATAACTCTTGCTGTTCATACCTGAAGGAATTGATAACTGCCACAAATTAAAAATGAAATTTTGTAATGAGTTGAAATATTGAAATATGCCCAAGACCAATTATGATTTACCTGTCTTTGTGTATAGGCAGGTACTCAATACCTGATGTGATTTACCTGTCTCTATATATGGGAGATATACCCAATACCTGATGTGATTTACCTGTCTCTATATATGGGAGATATACCCAATACCTGGTGTGATTTACCTGTCTCTATATATGGGAGATATACCCAATACCTGGTGTGATTTACCTGTCTCTATATATGGGAGATATACTCAATACCTAGTGTGATTTACCTGTCTCTAGATAAGATATAAACAAGACCTGGTGTGATTTACCTGTCTCTATATATGGGAGATATACCCAATACCTGGTGTGATTTACCTGTCTCTATATCTGGGAGATATAAACAAGACCTGGTGTGATTTACCTGTCTCTATATATGGGAGATATACCCAATACCTGGTGTGATTTACCTGTCTCTATATATTGAAGATATACCCTATTTACCGGTCAGTTTGCTGGGCTCAATGACTTGTTCCTCCAGAGTCCTGTGAGGTATATAGTTTTCTTTGTATGCACCTTTACTCCCCAATTTAGAGATGTTATCATAACTTGTTGTATTGTAGTAGTGAAACTGTCAGACTAACCCGCCATCAGAGCAGACTGACACATTCCATTTGTCACACTCCTCTAATCCTAATTCTTTGTAATATTTTATACCTAACATTCTCCAGATATTTAAAGAAATATATGTTTGACTTATTACCTTGTAGGCAATACACAAACAGCCAAGATGGTGTTGTTTTGATGATAGGTGAAAAATAAACCATTTCTACCAGAAACAAATAATTTCTATGAAGCACAATTGTTTTAACATTTTATTGTCTGAAGTAAGAGCTACTTTACTTTAGTTGCAGGATATATAGAAATTCTTTTTGCGGGTCAGCTCAATGAATTTGATTCTAAGGTTCTATCTGTTTATATGCAGTCTGAAGGAGAGGTTGTGGGGTTGGATTTGTATTTGCTGTGCTTCGCTCCATGATTATTTTCCTTGTATTTCCATGTAATGATGAGATGACAGGACAGGCTATTTCTGTAAATGGTGAGATGACAAGAGAGGCTATTTCTGTAAATGATGAGATGACAGGTCAGGCTATTTCTGTATAATGGTGAGGTGACAGGTCAGGCTATTTCTGTATAATGGTGAGATGACAGGTCAGGCTATTTCTGTATAATGATGAGATGACAGGTCAGGCTATTTCTGTATAATGGTGAGATGACAGGTCAGGCTATTTCTGTATAATGATGAGATGACAGGTCAGGCTATTTCTGTATAATGGTGAGATGACGGGTCAGGCTATTTCTGTATAATGATGAGATGACAGGTCAGGCTATTTCTGTATAATGGTGAGATGACGGGACAGGCTATTTCTGTAAATGATGAGATGACAGGTCAGGCTATTTCTGTAAATGGTGAGATGACAGGTCAGGCTATTTCTGTAAATGGTGAGATGACCGGAGAGGCTATTTCTGTATAATGATGAGGTGACAGGTCAGGCTATTTCTGTATAATGATGAGATGACAGGTCAGGCTATTTCTGTATAATGGTAAGGTGACAGGTCAGGCTATTTCTGTATAATGGTGAGGTGACAGGTCAGGCTATTTCTGTAAATGATGAGATGACAGGTCAGGCTATTTCTGTATAATGGTGAGGTGACAGGTCAGACTATTTCTGTAAATGATGAGATGACAGGTCAGGCTATTTCTGTATAATGGTGAGGTGACAGGTCAGACTATTTCTGTAAATGATGAGATGACAGGACAGGCTATTTCCATGTAATGATGAGATGACAGGACAGGCAATTTCTGTATAATGGTGAGATGACGGGACAGGCTATTTCTGTAAATGGTGAGATGACAAGAGAGGCTATTTCTGTAAATGGTGAGATGACAGGACAGGCAATTTCTGTATTATAATGAGATGACAGGACAGGCAATTTCTGTAAATGGTGAGATGACAGGACAGGCAATTTCTGTATAATGGTGAGATGACGGGACAGGCTATTTCTGTAAATGGTGAGATGACAGGTCAGGCTATTTCTGTATAATGGTGAGATGACAGGTCAGGCTATTTCTGTATTATAATGAGATGACAGGTCAGGCTATTTCTGTAAATGATGAGATGACAGGAGAGGCTATTTCTGTATAATGATGAGATGACGGGACAGGCATAATGTAAATGGTGAGATGACAAGAGAGGCTATTTCTGTAAATGTTGAGATGACAGGACAGGCTATTTCTGTGAATGATGAGATGACAAGAGAGGCTATTTCTGTAAATGGTGAGATGACAGGACAGGCTATTTCTGTAAATGGTGAGATGACAAGAGAGGCTATTTCTGTAAATGTTGAGATGACAGGACAGGCTATTTCTGTGAATGATGAGATGACAAGAGAGGCTATTTCTGTAAATGGTGAGATGACAGGACAGGCTATTTCTGTGAAGATGAGGCAGGCTATTTCTGTAAATGACAGGACAGGCTATTTCTGTAAATGGTGAGATGAGGATTTCTGTAAACAGGTCAGGCTATTTCTGTATAATGATGAGATGACTGGTCAGGCTATTTCTGTAAGGCT